CCCGAGGTGCTCGAGGCGCCCTCGGCTGTCCCCCCCCCCTCCGGGACCCGCCCCCCCTCCAGCCCGGGTCACGTCGTCCAACCTGTTCCCAGCGCCTGCCCCGCCCCGTCCTCCGTTCCCCGCAACCAGAGCCCGAGCCGGAGCCGAGGAAGCCCCCAGGTGCCGGGATCTGCCCTGGATCCGTGAGTTTCACCCTCCTGGGGTCCAGCGGCCCTGGAGGAGCCCGACACCCGCGTCCCTGGGAGAACTGGGAGGGGACTCGAACGCTGGGTCCTAGGGCGTAATTCGGGGTGGGCAAACGCCTGGGTCTTTGGAAGGAGAGAACTCGGATGCCTGACTCCTGGACGGAAGGAAAGGGGGTTCAGATGCCTGAGTTCTTAGAATGTAGGGCTTGGGCCGCTTGGTCTCGGGGTGACGTTGGAGCTGGGATTCCTGAGTGTCTTGAGTTGGGGCTCTCGGAAGCCTGAGTCCTTGGGTAGTATTAGGGTCTCAGATCTCTGAATCTTGGGCAGAAATGGGAGGCTCGGACTGCTGAGGTTCTGGGATGGGTGGTCACCCCCTGCCGCCTTCCAGCTGTCTTCTCGACAGAGGTCGAGGAGGTGTCTGAGCAGAATTAAGGGTGGGGCGGCGATAGTGGAAACTTGATCCTTGAAACGGAGAGGGACAAGTACCCGGGGTCCCTCCTGTGGCTGTGTCTTGGTGTTTCCCCCACTTTCCAGCTCTGGGGTGGGGGCGGGGTGTGTGTGAGAAACCCGGCGCAGCCCTCCTCCTCTTTGTGGCTGAGCGAACCCCAACATGTCATTAACCCGGGCGTCAGACCTGCCTAACCAGAGGGACGTCTGCCCCAGGGCGCCCCCTGGCGGAGGCGGTGGGGTAGCCTCCTATTACCCCATGGGGGTGGGAAATATCTGGGGTTTGCAGAGGTCGTTCTAGAACCCAGGGCAGAATTCTAGAACGCGGGGCTGGATTCTGGGAGGCTTGCATGGCCGGGAGCTTACGTATTACACAGAGAAAGGGGTAAACTAAGTCTTAGAGATCACACAGGCAGCGGTGTTGGGGGTCAGGATTTGACCTTCGCCTTCCTCTGCAGCTCTTTGGGGACAGAATTCCATTCACTCCCACCAAGTTTTCTAACTAGCCTTCTCCCTCCCTGGGCTCCTTGAGGTGAAAAATGTCACCTCCACTCCCATCTGTCTGACCTGTGGTATTGTGGGAGATAAGCAAGGGATAGAGGCTAATTCTGGAGGTGTCTGTCTGTCCTTGAGGCTGGGGGAGGGCAGGGCCAGGCACCTCCCTCTGTCTATCCCTCCCTTCTCTCCACCCCCATGCATCATGTGGGGGGATTAAAAAGGGAATAGAGGAAGTAGGGAGATCTGATGAGAGAGGGGTGTTTCCTAATGTCTGAGCTTGAAGGGCATTTGGTGATAGCCTGAAATGAAATTAAAAATAATAACCATAACTGCCAAGACAGCTCACCACGTGCCAGGCTCAGAGCTGGCAGGTAGACAACACGGTTCCCATTGTCTAAAGGAGTCTCGGGCTACTGCCCAAAGGTCTTATTTCAAATGAGGCTTGCTGACCCCAGGGAAGGACTCCTCCCTACTAGTGGGGAAACTGAGGCTGGATACCAGACACCGCCTACACCCTAGGCTTTTGCCAGCTTCTGTCTGGAATCTTCCACTGTTCTCCTTTCCCCTGTCCCTAAGTTATTGGGGATGATCACGGGCCAGAACTCAGGAATGTACAGGGGGAATTAGGTCTCTGGGTTCTAAGGGCTCAGAAGTTGAGACCCTGGTTGTCAAAACTCAGGGCTTTTAAAATCTCAAGGGCTGGCTGGTTAGCTCACTTGGGAGAGCATGATGCTGGTAACACCAAGGTCAAGAGTTCGGATCCCCTTATCAGCCAGCTACCAAAATGGAAAAAAAGAAGAGAATTAGAATCTCATAAAGAATTGAAAGTGCCCTTTTGGGGGGGGAAATTACTTGGGTCTTGAGCCCTCACTCTGTGCGAGACCTTGTGTTATCTTAACAGCCAGGGAAGGCTGGTAATTAAGAATCCTGTATATGTTAACTTTATTTTGTGCACGGCACTCTTCTAAACACTGTACATAAATTATGTCACTCAGTCCTCACAATCCCTTTGAGGTGAAGGTATTGATTCCCCCATTACACACATGAGGAAACTGAGGCGCAAAAAAGCTAAATAACTAACCCAAGGTAGAGGCTTAGAGAGGGGAAAGCTCTAGTCCATTCCACAGTCGTCTACAGAGGGAGAAACCAAGTCCCAGAGAGGGTGGGGCCTCCTGCAGCATCAGTCTGTCCCAACAGAGCTGTAGGATTCTAACCTGGGTGTTCCCAACCCTGTCTGGCGCTCTGCCCCGGTTCCTACTGAAGATGACTCCTCCAGGAAGCCCACAGAATCCTTAACCCCAAAGAACCTGGCTGGGGTGCACAGGAGGCCAGGGAAAGGAAGCTGGGGAGGAGCCGAGAGAGGAGCCTAGGGGCGGGTACTTGGAGGTGGACGGAAGCTGGAGTTGGAGGGAAGCAGGGGGTGGGGGAGAAGACCCGGGGGTGGAGGGAAGGGGCAGAGGCCTGGGAACAGAGACGCGGCCGCGCCATCCCAAGCCCTGCCCTCGCGCCCCGCCCAGCCCCACTCCCCTGCCGCGGAAGGTGCGGCACCTGCCCGGGCCCGCCGCGCATTCCCGGGGCCTGAGCTCAGGCGCTGTCCTCCCGCCGGGCCGGGGTCGAGCCATGACCTGGGGCGCCCCCTGGTGGTCCAAGACACCCCCACCTCCTGCACCAGTCTCGGGACAGCTCCACACCCAGGGTTGGCATTTCCTTAGAGCCAGAGGATGTCAGCATGGAATCTGAGAATCTTAGAAATTTGGAAATCATGAAATCCCCAAAAGAACCGCTCACTGACGGAACGCTGGGACTGAAGGCTGCATAGAATTGTTCATTTTTATGTTTTAACTAACACTTGTAAAGTGTTTCCTCTGTATCTCTGAGATTCTAAAAGCCCCGAGTTTTGATTCCTTAGTCTCTACTTTCTGACGCCTCAATTCTCAGAGCTCTGAATTCCTCCTGTACCTTCCGACCAGGTGGATCTTCACAATAGTTTTATGAGGTGAATTTATCCTCATTTTACAGATCAGGAAACTGAGGCACCCTGGTCAAGTTTGGACAGTGGTGATGCCAGATTTGAACTCTCAAAATCGGTCTCCTTACTTGTGCTTTTACCTGTTCCAATATATCATCCATCTAGACCTCCGAGACAGTGAAATCCTGGATAGACAGAATGGAATTCTGGGATGGCCAAATTGGAGAATTCCAGAATGTTCCAAAGATAGACTCTTGCTCAGAACTTTCCAATAGACTCTCATGCTGAAGGGTTTAGGCTCTGTAGAACTTTAATTACAGTCTCCAGGTCCTTACAGTTTCAGAATCTAGGCCTCTTTGAAATTGAAGGGCCTCTCAGAATAGCTGGTTTGCCTCCTCCTTTCACTGTTGGGGAAACTGAGGCTCAGGGAGTGGAAGAGACTCATCACCCAAAGTCACACATTCCCAGTACACCCAAATGAGCCACTAGACCCAACAGGTTCTGTTACTGTGGCTCCCAGACAGAGGCCCGTATCAGCATGCCCCAGTCTGCCCTGCTGCCCACGCCTGTACCACCAAAGCTAAGCAGTCCGTGCAGCAGGGTGGTGGCACAGCTGGTGGGTGTGGCAGCTACCATGGGGATGGGGATAGTGCTGGCCTGACCAGTTCCTGGAGGCCTGGTTCCCTCCCTCTGGGCTGGTGACCACAGCTGCCCCTCCACCCCTGGCCACCTCCCTGTTTCTCCTGCTAACAATGGGTCAGTGTGAGCCAGGCCTCCTCTGGATGGAGCTCTGGGGAGAGGAAGCTGAGTGGTCACTGACTTCTGGGACCCCTGCAGTCTAGTAAAGACGACCCAGAATAACAAGTTAGATCCAGGCATAAAATCCAGTACTATCCACTTCTTGCAGGGTGACCTTGAACAGATGTTTCTGAGCCTTACTTTGTTGCCTGCTGGGGCAGTTTTGACCATCGAATGAGGTACTGAGTGCAAAGCACTTAGCACAGTTCAATTAATGGTTGTTTTTATTACGTTATATCACCCCAAATAGGCACAGGTTCTGGTACACTATAGGCAGCACAACTATTTTTTAAAATATCGCTAGCATCCCGCACTGTCTCCTGATCCTTAGTAGGCATCTAGTAATTGATAGTTATTGTTTCATCTGATATTCACTGGCACATAGTAGATGATCAACAGATAATTGTTGAGGGAATGATTCAAGTCTTATTAGGTCTTACGTAAAGAGATGCATAAGGAGCCACGTAAAGGGAGTGAATTGTCCAGAGCCTTCCAGAACAGGTTTGGACTTCTATATGGTGTACGTACTGGGCTTTGAAGGAGTTGGCATTTCCCAGCTGGGGAAGTGGAAGGGCAAAGCGCTTCCAGTGAAGGAGAGAGAGAGAAGGCGCTGTCCTGCTCCTCGCGGCCCCGTGTTCCCTGAGGGCGGGGCCTGAGGGGCGGGGTCTGAGGCGGCTCCGCCCACCATGCAGGCGCCCCGTTCCGGCCGGCACCATGGACAGCGAGGCATTCCAGAGCGCGCAGGACCTTCTGGACCTGAATTTCCAGTGTGAGCTGGGGTAGGGGGTAAGGCTTGCGGGGGCGGGGCCCTCGGGGGCAGAGGCAGGCCCCTGCCAAGAGGCCCGGTCTTGACGGCCACTCCCGCCCAAGCAGCGCTGGCCATGAAGCACATGGACCTGAAGCAGATGGAGCTGGATACCGCGGCGGCCAAGGTGGACGAACTGACCAAGCAGCTGGAGTCTCTGTGGTCAGACTCGCCGGCGCCTCCTGGCCCGCAAGCTGGAGCCCCCCCCAGGGTGAGCCTGGTTCCCACCCTGACCCCCCAAACCAGCATTTCTCTATACCCCAGGCCAGAGGCCTGGGTTTCAGGCAGGACTGCCTCATACAGTTGTGCAGGTTGTGGGCTATTCAAGGGCACTTGAAAGAGGGGACCAGTGGAGGTGCACGTCTAACAGGACCCCCAGAGGGAAAGAATCCTTTTCCTAAGTCGCACAGAGGCAAAGGTGACATACAGTGCTGAGCTAGCTAGTTTCAGTCCTGATTCAGGGTTCTGTTTCCCCAGAACCCCTGACTTGGGCTTTCTGTGCCTGAATTTCCAGCCCTGGTCCAACTCGTCTGGGTTGACCTTCCATGACCTCTTTTGACCGTCCCCCCCATGAACCCCTCCACTAATGTCTCCTTTGACCTCTCAACGTCCACAGCTGTCTCGGTATAGCGCCAGCCCCGTCCCCGAGCCCTCTGGGAGCCGAGGGGCCCCCCGGAAGGCGACTACCGACAACGCAGACACCTCGTTCGGACGCTCCGAGAGTGCCCCAACCCTGCTCTCCTACAGCCCGCTGTCCGCCAAGGGCCGGCCGTCGTCGCCACGCACCCCGCTCTATCTGCAGCCGGACGCCTACGGCAGCCTGGACCGCGCGCCCTCGCCCCGGCCGCGCCCCTTCGATGGCTCGGGCAGTCCCCTCGGCCGTGCGCCCTCCCCGCGGC